CCCCAGGACCAGGTCTCAACTCTGCCACTAATTTACTACGTAATCTAGGGTGAGTCACTTTCTTTCCAAGTCTTGTTGTCCTCCTCTGGAAAGCGGGCATCATGATACCTGTTCTCCCTGTCCTCGTTCTGTCATTTGCGTATTCATTTCATAATGAATGTGTGAAAGTACTTTGTGATGAAAGTGCCCGAGGAAAGTTAGCTGTCGATATAATTAAGGCTATCTTTCTTTGAGTGCCTACTGTTGAGTGCTCTGTACTTTTCCTAAAGTTTAAATTCTTATTTAAATATAACCCCAGATCTTTACAGTATATAATATTGCCTTATTTTGTGAATGAGGAAGCTAGGCCTATGGAAGTGAGCCCCTCCAGGGGCAGAACCAGGATTTGGATGTTCGTATGTGCTGTATGCGTGTGTGTATGTATTTGGTGTGAGTGCATCATGGAACTGTCGAATCACCCTGAGAAGCCTGGCCTGTGGGGGCTGACTGAACCTTGTGAGGCCCTTCTGAGTATTTGCTGGTCCGTCTTGGAGAACCATGGGTGTGAGCGGTTTGGGTGGAGGGGACATTGGGCTGGGCTGAGCTGGCCTGTACGATGCCTTTAGGCAAACCCTGAGCATTGGGCAATGTTCTGTGCTTGTGCTGGGTTCATGTGATGGCTGCCGAGGGATAGGCAAGAGCTCCTCACAGAATGCCGAGGGGAACCCGAGAGAGCAGAGTGGGAAATGTGTGGGCTGGGCCCAGGCAAAAACTGTACATCTTTGGGTGTGGAGTAGCCTGTTTGCATGGAGCTCTCGAGCTACACTCCAGGTATCTCCCAGCGTGGGCCATCTTTCACCTTTCATCTTTCACCTGGGGAATCATTCATGGAATTAGTAGATTATTTTTAAGCTGGGAAGCAGACACCATGACACAGTTGGGGCAACCAGAACCCAAGGTTTCTGGCTGCTGTGCTGGGTTCACCACCTGGTTCCCCACAATGCCAGTCCTGCTGGCAGAGGGGGGCAGTTACATGAGGACTTGGTCATTAAACGATTTCTCGTTCTGAATTATTGCCCGGTTGCCTTCTTTTCACCAATTCTGGAGTCTTGGATTGAAAGTGCCCCTGAGGCCCTGCATAAGTGTGTCTAGAGAGAAGGAATGGGATTAAGGGAGTCTGTGGAAAGAGGGCTTTCAGTGCCAGGATCCTGTACCCTGGAACAGAGTCAGTACTGTGTCATTTCCTTCTCAGCTATTCCAGCAGAGATTGGGGTTTGGGTAGGAGCATGCATTCTAGAACCTTCCACCGAGTGGGACATGAGTGCCCTCATAGGTACCAAGGAAGGGCAGGTGTGTGTATATCCCTCACTACAAGGATGTATGTTTCGGGTTCACACTATAGAAGTGTGACCACAGTGGCAAAGGACCCTGGGCTCTGGGCTACATCAGCAATTGTGCAGTTTCCAGCTGCAGGCAGACATGGGGAGCCTCCTCTACCCACAAACCTACATTTGAGTGAGGAGACGATCCCTGGCATTCCCATGCCTGAGACTGTCTCAGCAGGTCAGCTCCCTTGTAGTCAGTGTTGCGGGAGCCCAGAGGAGGGGTGGCCATGGGAAGCCTGGGGAGGGGTGGCCTTAGCATTTCCTAGAAAGTGTCCTGCTTTTTGATGGGACCTGTGAGTGTGGAGGCAAGCTTTTGGGGAGCATGTGGTGGGAAATCTTAGGGCTTAGGACTATTGAGTCAGGGGAAGGGGTAGTGGCCAGAACTGCTCCTCCACTTGGTTATCTCCTCAGCAACCTTTCCTGTTGATTTGTGAACTCGAGGCTTCACAACATTGTCCCCTCCTGCCCCTGGTCCCTTTCCTCACCAAGAGCCCCTCAAGGGTCTCTGACCTGGCATTCATGGCTTCGTAGGCTGCCTGATTATACATGAAGGGTGCACCTCATCCAGCCTTCAGCTCTGTGAAATCTCCTCTCCTCAGTGATTGACCTGAGGGTTGCAGCCCCACGAGAGGCCGTGTGTGTATCTATATGTGTGAGAGAGGGGTGGACCCACAGTACAGGTTGCAACTGTAGCTGGGCTTTGCCTGGACAGTCCTGATTCGCTTTCCCCAGTGGGCTTTCCTGCCTGTTAGGCTGCAGTCCTCGTTTTTGGGGAACCTGGTCACCACCTGGCTGTACCTTCTTCTCTGCCTCCCTTGTTGCTGGTTTTCCAGCTGTGGCACTCCTCATGGCCCTGGCTTTAGAAGTCTGCAGAAGTTAATTTCTAGAGACGGGCAGCCAGGACACTGATCCTCTCTAGTCCCAGTTGAGTCCCCAACCACGCGTGGCCTGGGCAGGCCATTGCCCCTGTGGGCCTCAGTTTCCCCTTCTGATCAAGGGGCCTTCTTCTCTTCTTCATTTCCAAGAGGGTGAAGATGGCACAGAAGGACTTGTTGGGGGCTCACATCCACTACCATTATTCCCTCTGGGATTTGAGCGAGAGTTGGCTCCCCAAAGGGCCATCTGTGGGATGGGCTGGGCAGAGAAGGGCAGGCTACCTGGAGGAGGATACTGAAGTTTAGTGTGGGAGCCAGGATGGACAGAGGCTCCTGGGCAGGATCGGGCTAGGTGGGGCCGGGAGATGTTCTGTATGCACACACCCAGGCATCCTGGCACCTACCTGAGGTCCGCTCAACAGCAGGAATGAAAACTGGCGGGCAGGTTGGGACGGGGGGGAGGTGGGCGTGTTAATCAGTCCACTCATCAGCTGAGTCATGATGCCAGGCCCACAGGTCCTCCCCTGACACCCAGCCAGCCTGGACTCACTGACCCCCCTCCTGTGGCCCAGCCTGAGGTGGGGGCGGGGGTAGGTAAAATGAAATACAGGTTAGGGCCTGGCTTCCCACCCTGGCCCTGCCTCTTACTTTTGTGTGGCTTTGTATGTGGGCCATTCTCGGCCTCAGTGAGCCCATCTGTGAAATGGGGAGGAGGTGAGAGGCAGAGGTGAGATCATGTTTTTGAAGGCGTGTGACTGGCAGGTGTCTGTGGGGACCTGGCTGTGTTCCTGCTGCCCCAGGAGGGCTCTGTCTCAAGTGCTAGAAGTGGGGAGGTTCATGAGCCCTACTGGGTTCTACCAATTCTAAAACCACAGCCTGAACACCCGCACAGCCTTGGATAGTGGGGAGGTGTCCACGCCTGGTCCAGGGGATGCATGTGTGAGACGGTAGAACCAGACAGGTAGTCTCTGCATAGGCCAGGGGGGCAGTGACAACAAGGGAGCCTCACAGTTCAGCACCTCTCATGTCTCCTCAGTCAGAGGAAGGGTTTTGTCCCAGAGTCCCACGGAACAATTTCAAATGAGGATCTTGAGCTGTGAGGCAGGACATTTGTTGAACTTCAAACATGCAGGCCTGCTTTCTGGCCATGGGAAGTGTTAGGGTAGGGGAGTCTCCCTGAGGGGGGAACCATGGTGGCTGCCAGTCCTGCTCTGGAACCACTCTTGAGCACCGCTGATCTCCAAAGGGGTTGGGAGAACTCTCCCACCACGGTGGTGCTACTTTGAATCTGTAACCCTTTCTGCTCTGGAACCACTCTTGAGCACCGCTGATCTCCAAAGGGGTTGGGAGAACTCTCCCACCACGGTGGTGCTACTTTGAATCTGTAACCCTTTCCACTTGGGGCTACCTGGCACTTCCTGTGGTCCCCTGGTCCTCTTTGGGTGCAGTCTAAGAGACAGGATTCTGCCTGTCATGAGGTAAGTGGGAGAATTGCACATTCCCCAGAATGGGATATGGGGAGGTGGGAGGGAACTTCTGGAGGACCGAGGAGTTTGTATCCCCATGGTATCTGGCACCTGCTGGGTACCAGGAGGCCCCAGAAAGCCCGCTAAGACTTGGGCTCTGGCCTTGCTGTTTCTATGCCTCCGTTGATGCTCCAGCCAGGCCTGACCTGGCTGGGGACTAGATCATGTCGGTCCCATGGCCAAGACACACAATGGCATGGACTCTGCTCTCCAGGAGCTTCTCAGCATCCCTCCTGCTCAGAAACTCTCTGGGCCCTTGGAGGTCCTATCACCATGAGTGTTCTGGATAGATACGACAGTCAGGTTTGGGCTTGCAGGGCCCTAGGCTTTGGGATGTTTCAGAAGCCTCTGAGACTCATCATAGAGGCTGACGTCATTCCAGCTTCTCCCAGAGAAAACCACTGGGGTGCGGTGCTGCTATCATGCTGATCACATCCCTTTCAGGACGGGGCGTGGGGATGGTCCTGGGCAGCAAGACCTCCTGGCTGGCCAGGGTCTGCCGAGCTGTGGGCCAGGCTAGGAGAATGGGCCTCACTTGGGTTACCTGAGATCCTAAGGCTCTGCCTTCCCATCCCCTGCCCCACAGTTTCTCTGAAGGGAACCCAGGGCCTGGGGGAGGCACATAGGTGGAGTTTCCTTGAGGCCAGGCCTGGTTGTTGTGTAGTCCAGGAAGCTGTCCTCCCCACCCTCTAGGTCTTCACAGGTGAATCTGAAGCAGTGATGAGGGCATCCTAGACTCAGAGAACTGTGAGAAGAGTAGAGAACCTCTTACTTTTCCCCCCACCCCCAATGAATGAGGATCATTCTTATTGACCCTGTCTAGGAAGTGGACATGCAGTAGGCACTCTGGCCCACCTGTCTTCCAGTGTAAGGGCAGCCACCTGAGCCTGAAGGCCTGAGGCTGCCTGCCTTTGGGGGACCCAGTTTGGGGTCCCGAATCCTTGGGCCTGGGCAGGTGGGGTGGGGCCCAGAACTAGCTGGCTAGTCTGCCTTGGTTAGTTACAACCTGGGTTTGGGCAGACAGGTGGAGCCTGGGAAGGGCACAGGACATGGAGTATGACCCACCTGGGGCACATATGAGCTTTGCCACTTCCTCCCTATGTAGTCCTGGGTACGATTCTTCACCTACCTCTCAGCCTCAGTTTCCTGTAAAACGGAATTTTTCACCGAAAGAGTCAATGAAGTAACATGTGATAGGATTGGGGGCCCCTTCCTTGCCTGGAGCAAAGAGGAACATGTCTGGGGGAGCATTGAGGCTGATCCCCTATGGAGAGTCCCTGGAAGAACCCTCGCACCATGGTCATGACCAGGGAAGGGGTGCAGTCTCTGACCTAACTGGGTGTGGAGTTATTCTGTGTGAATGACCGACTGGTCTGACCCCTGTGGTGCTGACGGAACAGGGTCTACAAACATGGCTTTTGCCCCTTCCCTGGCAGAAACATGAGCCTTCCCAGGCAGGCCAGACTTTGCTCTCCTATGCTGGAATCTCTGCCAGGAGCTGCCTTCTGATCTGAAGAGGTGTAGGCTGGGCTGGCGGGTCGGGGAGGAGGCCAGGCAAACCCAGACACTGGGCTATCTGGGTGGGGGCTCAGTCCAGCTGAGCAGAGCCCTGGTTGTGGGGCACAGCTGTTTGTGCCCAGAACTTCAGACCAAAGGTGCTCCTGGAGAAGGAACCTTGTTCTCTGGGGATGCCGACAAAGCTGGGCCAGGCTGCAGGGAGGACCCTTTCCTCTGTGCTTCCTCCAAGAGAAACATGACTTTTCTCCCTGAGGATGAGGGCATCCCAGTGGGCTTCACCGCGATGGGTAGTTCACAGCTTGCCTGCTGGCCTCTCTTCAGTAACTGTGTGCCCTTGGACAGAAGACACAAGCCCTTAGCCTCAGTTTCCTCAACTGTAAGGTGGGCATGGTGCTAGAATTGAAGGTGGCCGTGAAGATCGAATTAATTCAGGGAAAGTGCTTAGGCTAGTACTTGGCACCTAATACTCAATAGCTATCAGCTGCAATTACTTTATTTTTTCCTCCCAAAGCCTAATTCAGTTGTTTCTATTCTTAAGTAACCCCCAGCCCAGGTCAGATCCTTAGATATCCTCCCCACTGCCAGCAATCCCTGAGGCATGGACAAGGCGTTATGGCCTCTGAGCTCCTGAGACTGGAGCTGCATCCACAGTCTCCCTTTCAGGTACTTCCACCAACTGCATGCAAAGGCTGCAAGGGCCTTAGGAGCTCCACACTACACGTTTGAGGCTGTGCAGAGCCCCCAGCCCACCAAGAGGGCGAGCCATTGGTCTGGGGCCCCATCAGTATCTAGGGAGCAACCCAACTTCTTCAGACACAACCTTCTCAGAAAATTCTATCTTCTATCACCCAAACCAGAAGGTTCCAGCCCTACCCTCCTTGGGACACCTTCAAGGATACTCTGCCCTGCCCTTCCTGTGTCTCTGTCTAGGCTTCCCAGCAGCCTCAGTGCTGGCTTAGTCTGAACTGTGCTTTATTTGAGAGGTCAGGTTCCCAGGTTAGCCCATAAAAAGAAAAGGCATGTACATTTGTGGTTCAAGGGGGAGCACAGGGAGTCGAGTCTTTCTTTCCTGGATACGGCATTGCTGGTAGCTACAACCTGACAAAGGTTAACAGATTTGGTCTTGGCATCTTCTAGCTACACTTTTATAATCCTTTTCCATCTTCCATAGCTCCTGCCCGCCCCAACTGGCCCAGTTCCAGAATTAGCCCTTTCCCCACATGAAACTGATTTATGCTGTAGTGTGAGGGACTAGCATTCTGTAGCCCTCCCAGAGGCATTTTTGCTTTCAAGGGGGACATTGGGCAACTACAGGGATATTGATAGAAGAGATTTTGGTGATAACCTTTGAGCATGTTGCCCCTTCCCCCCAGTATACACACGACTGGAGCCCTGGCTGGCTGCAGGTGTGTCCAAAGCTGCAGTTTCTGCCTCTGTGAAACTTGAAGACACTTTATTTAGTTTGTCCAGGGGAAGGATGTCACTAGAAATTCATATGCTAGAGGTGTCAGCCCCTAAAGCCCCCAAGGCCAGTGATAACAGTTCCAGGGACCTTATGGGGGCTGATGGGGCTTAACTTTCCTGTAGGGGTTGATTGGGGGAATCCTGAATTGAGCTTCCTTAGTTGGCTTGTTGAGACAGCCAGGGCTGGGACAGGACAATGCCCTGAAGGTCTTAGCTGCCTCTTATGTCTCCTTGGGTTGCCGGTTGCCATCCCCAGAGTCACCTTGATTTGGGACATCTCCGGCACCCTTCCTAGGCCATGTCTCCCTTTAGGAAGCTGAGAGTGATGATATTGAGTCAGTGTGATCAAGAAGTGTCCCTGTCCCCACTTGCCCATCATGGCTTTTTCTGCTGAGGACCACATTGTGGTATGCCACCCCTCCCATGGGCAGCCTGCTGCTACCACCACATCTGGGAAGCAAGGCTTCCCCTAGAGGTGAGTCTTGACTCCCCAGCCAGAGAGCCTGTGGAGAGTAGAAGCCACCGACTTGGACTTGGGAGCATTCTTGCCACCATTTTGACCAAACTCCATTGTACACATGGGCAACCTGAGGCAGGGTGTTTTCCAACATTACCTAGGAGCAGAGCCCAAACTGTAACTAGGTTTTTACCCTACTGAGTCTGATCATTTTCTTTTGGCCACCTCTGGTGGTCCGTGCTACGGGTCCCTGAGGAGGGGTCACTGGGAGGCCTGCGGGGATAGAGCCCTGCCTGGCTTCCAGAGTAGCACCAGGTGCTGGGGCTGGCAAGACCTGGGCTGGGCCGCCTTGCTCAACACCTGCCCAAGTGAAATCTTGCCTTGCCTGGCCCGGATTCTGCAGGTGGGGAAAAGCAGAGGAACTTGTCTTCCAGCTCTGGTTCCATGCCCAGCCCTCAGCTGAGTCTGCTCTGAGACTAGTCCTGGCACGCGGGCTGCTGTGGCAGGCGCCAGCTCCATGGAGGGATAGGCATGGGGTGAGAGTGGCAACACTGGCCTGACTTGGGAATTGGGCTACCTGGATCTCCATCTCTCTACAAACACCCTGGCCCAGGGATGCTCTCAGCAGGCAGCATGGTGTAGGAGAAAGGGCCCAGGCCTGGGAGGCTTGGCTCTGCGACCTTGATCTCAGGTTTTTCCCTCTGTAAAGCCCTGACATTACACAAAATGGAAAGGGGTCTTTTAAGCCAAGCACAGTTTCTGTCCTTCCACCCCTAGTCCTGCCCTGGATTCCCCAGGGCTTTGAGGTGTTAGGACAGCTGAGATAGGCTTTTATGTGTATGCGGGGAGAGGTGCATACTAGGGGGTCCCCTAAAAGCTGTTCCTCCCAGTAGTAGTGCTGTGGAGGGAAAGCGGGGGTAGCCTCCTCTTCCTGCCTATTCCCGCCCCCTTCTGCCCTGGGCTGGGCCCATCACTCCCTGCCTGTCATACCCTCACAGGTCCCAGCTTGCCTTGTTCTCAGTAGAGAGACAGTGAGCTGATAAATCACTGTGCCTGTCCCGGAAATGCTGATGCTGCCTTGAGGCACCAATGGGGCCCCTCCCTCCTGGGAGTGGCTTTAGCAGGGGTGGGGGGATAGGAGGGATTTCAGGGTCTTGGAGCTCAGGCCCAGAGATCTGTGGCCTTAGCATGCCCCCCCCTCACGCCCCGCAGGCATGGTTTTCAGCTCTGAGTCAGGAAGCAAGCCTTGGCTCCTTCACATCCGGGGAGCCCAGCATCTCCTGGGCAGGGGCCTTGTCCCTTCCACCTATCACCAGCGTGCGTCTGTGGCCTCCTTATCACCCCACACCACCCAGCCTAGCCTGTCAGATCCATAAGGGCGTTTAGGATTAGCCAGCCAAGCCCCCTCCATCGTCCTGGTGAAGAACAGGTCCAGAAGGAGGCAGAGAGCTGCCCCACCACCCGACACAGGAGCAGTGGAGTGGGACCATGCTCTTTCCCTGAGACCCCTCCTCCTTGATGCTTTGGTCCAACCAGCCTGGCCAGTGCTTAGGTCATTTTGGTCAGGAATAAAGGAGAGGGACAGATGGCTGCCCACAAAGGGAAAGCAGTCATAGACCCACGCTGCAGGGCACCAGGGCATTTGGAGGGCCAGAGTGGACGTTTTGCAGCATTTCCTCCCCCTGCAAGAGCACATGGAGGCCCTGCAGCCTGCACTGCCCTTCCAGTCCAGCCTTCACTTTTGAGGCCCGGGCAGTCTCTTAGCTCCATTAGCTCTCTCCTACTCTCCCCTTTTGGGTCAAGCTAACTGATGGGAAGGTGATGGGCTGGGCAGGCAGCTGCCCGTGAAGCCCAGGTTGTGCCCACTCAGCCCAGCCCCAGGCTGACATGCTTTGCCTTCTGACCTGCTTCTTGGACTGCTCAGAGTTGAGTGGGCCAGGTGCCTCTGCAATTCAGGGTTCCCTCAGCTCCTCGGGGAGGGAGGTGTGCTGTCAGTGAGAGTGGATGCTTTGGAAGTGTAGAAAGGCCATTTCAGAGCCTTCCCACATCCTTTTGCCCTTAGAGCTTGTTCATAGGACTCTGATGCTACTTGGGGCCTTGTCTTTGAACCACTGGACTCGGTCAAGGGACCTGAGTGGAGACTTGCCCTCCCCAAGCCCCCAGTCCTTGGCCCACTTGGGTGAGGCCTTTTTCTCTTTAGACCATTGTTCTCAGAGGGCAGTCTGGGACCACCTCCAGGACCTGGGGGCTTGTTATACAAGCAGAGTCAGCCTCTGGGTGTGGTACTCAGAAGGCTTCATTGGTGACAGTCTCCTGGTGATTCTTAGTGACCCTAAAGCTGAGAGCCCCCGACCTGGATGCAGGGGATGGGTTGGATGTCACCCTTGGCCAGTGTGGCATCTTGATATAGCGGTGGGAGGTGAAGGGTGGGGTTCTGTAGCTCAGCCCCTAGGAGTCATGAGGTCTGGGGGAGGGGAGAGTCAGCCTGTGTCTCTTAGATTCATGAATCTGGCTGAGAACCTGAGGAGGTAAAAAGGTTTCTAAGCTATCATGATTCTATTTTAAGTCTCTTGAGGATGTTTGCTGTTTCGTGGAATCTTGTTGGGATGGCGATGATGGGTGTTCATCCTGTGTAACTGTGGGGTTCTCCTGCCTTTTGACCTCTGAAGCCCGGGCTTCTCGAACCAGTCTGGAATCCTCCTGTCCACCAGCCCCAGGGCCAGCACCAAGGCCTGGGGTCTGGGCTGCTTGGGAAAGGTTGTGACCCACCTCCTTTGATAAGGGGCAGCTCTTTATCCCTGGTGTTGTGACTAATGGGGCTTGTTGATTCAGTGACTTGGCTCTCACCCACAGACACTGGGAATTTCATGACCACACCGGGGCAGTTACAGCCAACCAATAGTTGAGCCTCCCTCTCCCACTCCACCATGAGAAGACTGTGTGTCAAAGAGACCCCTAGCGCTACCCAAGTTAGGGCCCCAGAGTGAGCCTTGCCTTATCCTCTCCTGGGTCTGGCTGGTCTGGCTGGAGACTTTAAGGCCTGGCCCTAATGGCCCCCTTAGGGCAACCACCCAGCCGCCAAAGCATCCCCTTCCTGAAGCCCCCTGGAGTGGGGCACCTGACTCTGTGTCCTGGAGGTTGGCAGCTCTGCCAGGGCCAGAACCAGACTATTTTTTAGCCTCTCTTCTCCCCAAAGCTCCTGGACAGTGGTCCTCAGATTTTAGAAATTTAGGACCTACTTAATGTCAAAATTTCATGACTTTCTTACATAGTATTATACATTTAGAAGGCATTGGTTGAAAAAGCAACAGAACTCTATGAAGTCAGTAATACTTTTTAAGAGATTTGTGTTTTATCTGTCTCTTAAGTCAAGCAGTGTTGACACAGTGATCCAGGGTCCAGGTTGGAGACTATAGGTCTTTGAACCTAGTGCGTGCAGGTAGATGGAGTAGAAGTAGGGGCAGATGGGCAACCTGTTCAATTATCAACATCCTCACTTGAACCTCTCTGAGATGCCCACTTGAGATCCTGGCTCGTGACACAGCTAAGGAGCTTTCATGCCTGAGATGCCTTGAAGAAATTCTGTAACACAACCACTCTTCAGCCCCAGGGCCCGTCAGGGCAAGGGGCTCTGCTGGGACGGAGGTTGCCAAGGAAAGTAGTCCTCTTTACAACCAGTGCGGGGGTGAGAACTGGCAGGAGTTGGCTTGGCTGCCTTTTGGAAACTTCTCTGCCAGCCCTCTGCCCACAGACTCTGGAGGTGCTCTATGGAGTGGCTGGCAGCAGAGGATGAAGACCTTCAGTCTTTGGTGGCACCACCCCTTTCCGGGCCATGTCATTCCATCTCCATTTCTCGAGTGCAGGCTGATACCTGGTACCTCCAACCCTGGGGTGGGCTCAGGGATTCCTACTGAGTAAAGTGCTCTCCTGCTCCTCTCATCCCATCAATGAGCCTTAGGCAAGTTTCCCTTTAAACAGAGGGGCTCTGTAGGTTAGGTGGTCCCTTGGGGCTGGGGAGAGGGATGGCAGGTAAGGAGAGTGGGAGCTGCACAGGAAGTTTGTCCACACTTGAAGTGTCCAGGTGGCCTTGACCGAGTCCCTCACGCTTTCTGAGGCTCTGGTCCTTATTTGTCAGAAATGTTCATCTCAGCCCTGCTTCCTCATCTGGAGCTGTAGGAACCAAAAGAAGACGAGTGGGAAGTGCTTCCAGCCTTAGAGGAGGCCTCACTCCTGTACACCCTTTCCTGCTGGGTCAGGAACCTGACCCCAGGACTCTCTCCAGGCTCCTTCCCATATAGCCCCGGGTGTGGCCAGAAGACCGAGGAGGCTGAGATGGTGATGGGGTGACTGTTCCTCTTTTGCTCACTGTTCTCTAAATGCCATGTATCCACCCCATGATTCCCTAGCCCCCAGGCAAGCCAAACCTGGCTTTGGGCTTTCAAAGCAGTGAGACTCCAGGGTCTGCGCTGTGGTTGGGGAAAGGGCAAGGTGGCCCATGCTTTGAGCAAACAGGATGTGTGGAAGCCTAGGCCTTACTGACCACAAGCCTGTTGTTGATTTGCTATAAGAACAGCTGATTTTCCTGGGGTCTACAGAGGCCGAAGTCTGACTTGCCTTTTGCCTTCCCAGGCAGCACAAGCTGGGCTCCCAGCTAACCCCACCTGTTCTTGAGCAACCCTGAGCAATGGCCAGGAGGTCTCAGGAGGACCCAGGTCAGAGGAAATGCTGAGGAGAGCCCACAGGAGGCCTTGAGGCAGTGTGCAGCAGGTCTGCATCGTAGTGAAGCCAGAAGCCATCCAAAACTCGAGTCAGCTGTCACTTTGGTAATCCAAATTCAAACTCAGCAGTTTCTGCTAATTTCTTCCCTAGGGAACTGAAGTCTTACTTTTTTCTCATCTGAATTGCTATCACAGAAGGTCCAAGCTGGAAGACATTGGGGAGGCCACTCTGGCCCATCTCTTTAGTGGAAACTGGAGACTAAGAGAGGGGAGAGGCTCCCTGAAGGCCAGGGAGCTGGTTTCAGTGGAGAAAACATTTGCTTAAGATCTTGTTGTGTAAACAAGATCACAGAAGATAAGCCAACAGAGCTAAGGGAACAAACTGTTTTTAGGGACTGGGCAGATTCAAAGTTTTATCTAGTTAGGGGAGAAGCCCTGCTCTTGGGAAACTGTCAACCTGCTGCTTCTCTGTAGGTGAAGGGCTGGTCTCCCTGGTTTTTCCTGGGTCTTACCAGGCGGTGCCTCCCAGGTTGTACGTGAGCCTCAGCGTGTGTGCCTTCTCTTCAGGTCTCGGTTGCCTCATCTGTTGAATAGGTCCTAGATCCCATGACTCTGGCTTCTGCTGGAAGATTTGACACTGCAATGCAGTGGAGGCTCATGGGGTTAGAACCCATCTCTGCCCCATCTCAAGCTTTCTCTTCCAGGGAAGGAATTGGTGCAGCAGGAGAGGGTGGGACAGAGGCCTCGGATGAGAGTGAAGCTGTGATTTCAATGATTGTATGTGTGTGGGGGGGTACCCACTCTGTGCCTGCCTGGTGGGCAGTATTCTTTGTTGTTGAAGAAGATATGTTTGAGGGAGGCTAGGAGCAGCTTCAGATCTTTGTGAAGGCAGCACAGATATTTGAAGCACCACGTGGGGATGGTATAGATAGGATGTGTATGGGTGTGTGCGGGGGTGAACTATGACTGTTCATTGTAGATGGGCCATGGTGGATTGTAGATGCACCATGGTGGACTGTGCCTATTCATTGTAGATGGGCCGTGAAAGGCCCTTCTCGGGTCAAAACCTTTCTCTTGGGGGAGGGGGTACAGTTTTGCTTTAGTACTTTCAAAGGAAGTTCAGTGTTATTTCTAGCCTTGTGGTTTCTGCACATGTCCCTCTGGCCTGGGCCCATAGAGGCGGAGCCTCCACCTGGCCCATCTGTGCCCCGGGGCTACCTCAGGAGGCCAAAGGTCCTGCTCCACTCAGGAGTGCGGCCTGTGGGCCTGTGGCCAGGACCTGGCGAGGCCTCTTGGGCTGAGAAGCCGTGTTCCTTTGGACCCAGCCTCAGACAGGCCCCTCTGACAAGTCTGTGCAGAGGCTCCTGGTGAACGAGTGCCCTCCTGCCCTTCTCTTCTCATGAAGCCCTATCTCCCTCCAACCCACCCCCTTTCTAGACAGGCCTGCTAGCATTTGAGCTCTCTCCCCTTGCTGAGTGGCTCTGGCTCCCCTATTAGAGCAGTGGCCACTGTTTGTGGGCTCTCCTGACATGCCAGGCTCCATTAGGTTCTTTACCTGCAGAACCTCATGGTATTTTGCAGCAGTCCTGTTGCAGGTTTAGATGTTACTACTGTTCCCCATTTTACAGATCGGAAGACTGAGGCCATAAGAGGTTTAACAAATCCTCAGGGCCATGCAGCTAGTAAGTGACAGAGGTCAGGGGTCACTAAAGCCCGTGGACTGGGCTGTACTATGCTGTTCTGCTTCTGCTTCTTTTTTTTTGAGTCGGCATCTCTCTCTGTTGCCCAGGCTAGAGTGCAGTAGCACCATCATATGGCTACTACAGCCTCTACCTGCTAGTTTCAGACGTTCCTTCTGCCTCAACCTTCCAAGTAGCTGCAATTATAGGTACAGACCACCACACTCAGCACATTTTTTGATTTATTGTAGAGACGAGATCTCATCAAGTTGTCCAGGCTGGTCTCAAACCCCTGGGCTCAGGTAATCCTCTTGCCTCAGACCCAGAGTGCTGGAATTACAGGCATGAGCCACTGTGCCCTGTTCTTGGCCCTGTTCTGCTTTTATTCATTCTTTGTTCTGGTCCCTGACATCGGAGCCTCCCAAGACAAACCGTGTAGTGAGTGGGGGTTGTTTGGGTCAAATCTGGATGATGAATAGGACTCCTAAAGCCACCCTTTTTGCCACCTGGCTGAAGGTCTTCCCTTTCCCACCTGTGGTCCCGGAGCCAGTGTTAAGGGCAGAAGTTGCCCGACTTTCTGCCTCCCACCCCCCATGGCTTCTGCACAGGCCTGCTCACTGTGTGTGGCATGTTCCATCTCCTCCCCCTGCCCCTGCCCTGCCAGTCCTGCCAGTCAGCCCCTGCCTCAGGAACTCGGCATATGTTTATATGTTTGCACTCTGGCCCCTGCAGCCTCTTGGAGCTGGGCCAGGCCAACAGCATTCCTGGGGCTGCTCTTTGCAAATGGGGCCCGTTCCAGTACCTGAGCCTTCTTAGTACAGGGCTCTTTCCAAATTAGCCTCATCTACCCCTAGCTGCGTGGGTGCCCCGTGCTTCTTTCCCCACTGAGGATGATACTCTGACCAGAGGGCCTGGACCCAGTCCTTCCTGTGAATGGGAAACTGGGCTAGGTGTGGGAAGAGCATTATGGCCTCAGCGCCCTCTCTGCAAGGCCCTTTGTGTCTACACCTTGGTGTTCAGCATGCCTGGAGGTGGCCTCCCTGAATCCAGGTTCTTCTGGGATTGTTCCTGGTGCTCTCAAAAGTGGGACAGGGTCAGCATTTGGACCCCAAAGCTTCTTGGCTGATGGCCCCCAAGACCTGATTCTCAGCGTAGAGTAGGCTGATAGGGTCCCATGGGGGATTCAGCCTGTGTTCCCAGAACAGCTTATTCTGTCTGCCCTTCTGAGAGGTCTGAGCTCCCTCACCAGACTGTTCTTCTCGGAGCGAGGATCCTGCCTTGTCTTGTGTGTCCCTGCACCCAGCATGTGCTGTGCTGTTGTAGCATCAGGGCTGTGTGGGGAACAAAAGGGCTGCCCAGAGCTGAAGGTCTCGGAGCCACATGAGGGGGCGGGGTGGGGTAAGTCCACTCAGCTGTCTAGCACAGGCACCCAGAACAGCAGGGCCCAACCAAGCCTCCACTCACACCCTTTTCTGATCTTTTTCTAGCAAATTGTGGCCACAAATGTGCCCCCTGAAGACCAGGACAGCTCTGGGGATGACTCTGACAACTTCTCTGGCTCAGGCGCAGGTGAGGCTTTCATGGAGGGCCCCAACCAAGATGGTGACAGGCCATGGCTGTGGGCAGTGGTCAGTCAGTATTCTGTGTTTATTGAGCATTTACTGAGTGTACCCCCCCATCCCCCCCGTCCCTGCCCAACCAGGTCCAAAGGGTGATAGTGGGATAAAGAATGGGGTCTGTACTGCCAGGAGCTACCTGGTTAAGGAGAAAACATGCTCAGAGTAAATGGGATTCTGGGGGGTTCCAGGAGATCCTGGGGCTGCCTGCTGCACACAGGTTCATGTTCTCCTCTTTATTCACAAGGTAATGTAACCTTTGTAACCAACCTGCAGAGGGTTATTTGGCTCCTCTAAGCCTCTGTTTTCTCAGCTGTAAAATGGGAATGATATCTTAAGCTGACAAGGTTGTGGGGAACTGTGAGACAGCACATAGCCTGCTGAGGTGTGGCTCTTCCATCTGTCTTCCCTGCCTTATTTTCTTTTTCCCTGGGGGAGAGAAGTCCTTGGGCTGGAGGCGGTCAGGGAGGCCTCCCAGAGGAGGTAGTTCTTAAGTGGAAAAGGGGTGAGAGCTATGGAAGGAGGGCTGAGGAAGTGGCCGAGGCAGGGGCTTGGGAGTTACAAGGTAGTATACAGCGTCTGTTCTTGGGAGCAGGGACGTTTCTGTGGGAGGGCAGGTGAGTCAGGGAGAGGGCCAGAAAGATGTGTGCACTGGGGGCAATGAAGTAAAGCAATCGTGCCCCTGAGGGTTGCCCACCGCCACACGCATGGTCACCAGAAAGCTCTTTCTCAGGTGGTTGTGGTGCCTTTCTCATGGCTCCAGAGACCAGGCTGTCCCCAGACACATGCAGCAGGAAAGGGCAGCTCTCCTTGTCTGTTTTCCCAGTCAAGTTTAGCCTTGGTTAGCTCCACCCAGGTCAGGGCTTCTTGCAGCAGGAAGAGTTGCTGTGCTTGCTGGCCTAAGAGTCAGAACCCGGGTCCTTACCCAGGTGCCGGCTTTCCTCACAGTCCGAGCCTGGCTGGTCCAGGAGCTCTAGAGCCTTACCACCCCTGACACACTCTGCTCTGGCCCTACAGGTGCTTTGCGAGATATCACCTTATCACAACAGACCCCCTCCACCTGGAAGGACATGTGGCTCCTGACAGCCACACCCACAGCTCCAGAGCCCACTGGCCCAGAGGCCCCGGCCACCTCCACCTCCGTCCAGCTGGCAGGAGAGGGACAAGAGGAGGGAAAGCCTGTAGTCCTGTCAGAAACAGAACCTGACCTCACTGCCCGGGAGCAGGAGGCCACCCTCACACCCAGGGAGACCACACAGCTCCCAACCACCCATCAGGCCTCAACAGCCAGAGCCACCACAGCCCAGGCGCCCGCCACCTCTCACCCCAACAAGGACATGCAGCCTGGCCACCATGAGACCTCAGCTCCCGCAGGGCCTGGTCAAGCTGACCCTCACACTCCCAGCGTGGAGGACAGGGGTCCTTCTGCCACCGAGAAGGCTGTTGAGGATGGAACCTCCAATCAGCTCCCAGCAGGAGAGGGCTCTGGAGAGCAGGTGAGCCGCCTTTGCATTCCCTGTGACATTAGGGGTCCAGTAGGTAGGGTGGCCTCTAGTGCCTGGCACCCTGTGAGCCTATTGATTTCCTTACCATGAAGTCAGGGCATAGGAGCCCACCTTCTCCTGCCCTCAGGGCCTCACCTAGAGCAGGACAGACTAATTATGAAGCCAGAGCAAAAGAGTCCTTAATGATCACTCAAGGGTTTACCAAACTTATGTGAGGTCTGTCCCACCCTGCTGCTGCAAGTGTGAAAGTTCTATCAGTTTTCTTCATATTTTTTTTTTTTTTTTACTTGGGGTTTCCCAGTCTGGAGTACAGTGGCACCATCACAGCTCACTGCAGCCTCAACCTTCTGGGCTTAGGCGATCCTTCCAGCCTCCTGAGTAGCCGGGGCTACAGGCACCACAGCTGGGTAGCTGGGACTATGCCACCACAGCTAGCTAATCTTTTTTATTTTTGTAGAGACAAGGTCTTGATGTGTTGCCCAGGTTGGTCTTGAACTCCTTGGCTCAAGTAATCCTCTCGACTTGGCCCCCCAAAGTGCTGGGATTACAAGTGTATGCCACTGTGCCTGGCCCAAGTCTTATTTTTTATCTTATAGTATCATGGGAATTTTACACTAAAATCTACTTATCTCCATACAAAAATGGTGCTTTGTATCACTTTTTGTGATATCGATGCCACCCTCCAGCCAGGATCCAGTGCGATAAGGCAAGAGGGCTTGGGTTTGGGGTCCAGGAGATTGAATTTGACTGTGTCTGAGTGGATGGCAGCAGAGATCTGAGGGGCAGGAAGTGCTTCTGGATTTGGCAGTGGCCCAGCCCAACCTGACCTCTCCCTCCCCACTCCTCTAACAGGACTTTACCTTTGAAATTTCCGGGGAGAACACAGCTGTAGTGGCTGTGGAGTCTGACCACCGGAACCAGCCCCCCGTGGATCAGGGGGCCTCACAGGGCCTCCTGGACAGGAAGGAGGTACTAGGAGGTGAGTTTTCCCTCAGGTGGGTGGTCGGGTTTGGGAGGGGACAAACTGCTGCTCTGGGGTGGGGGAGCTATTTTTAGCCCTGCTGTGGGGCTGGCCACAGCCAAGGCCAGCTCTTGGGCTGCCCACTGTGGGAGGGGGGACTGCCGTAGAACCCAGGAGTCTGTCAAACTGAGCCGGCCTCTGTCTGCCTACCCTAGGAGTCATTGCTGGAGGCCTGGTGGGGCTCATCTTTGCTGTGTGCCTGGTGGGTTTCATGCTATACCGCATGAAGAAGAAGGACGAGGGCAGCTACTCCTTGGAAGAGCCAAAACAAGCCAATGGTGGGGCCTACCAGAAACCCACCAAGCAAGAGGAGTTCTACGCCTGACGGGGGAGCCATTCTCCCCTTCCCCCTGCCACTCACTAGGCCCCCACTTGCCTCTTCCGTGAAGAACTGCAGGCCCTGGCCTCCCCTGCTGCCTCCCCAGCACCTCGGCCCCTCCTGCCATTCCTGCCCATGGAGTCCTGGGTTGTGCTGGGGAGCTCCCCTCTGCTTCTCTGACTTCTGCCTGGAGACTTGGGACACAAAGGGTTTCTCTCATGACCTTTCCACCACAGCCAGCACTTGGCATCTCACCATTCTGACTCGGTTTCTCCAGACTGGAGCAGCCCCTCCCAAGGCCCAGCTCTGGAGAGAAAAGGGACCCGACTGCCTTGGACCTGGATGGCCCTCTGTGGCTGGAAGATGCTGTGGGTGGGGCTTAGGGCTGACACATCTATAGCACTTACTCGTAGCACCAACCGTCTTGGGGGCGTTGGCCATTGAGTGATGGGGAGAGAAGGTCAGGGCTCCATCAGAATTCACTTTGTTTCTGGGGGAGTCTAATTTAGATATCAACTCGTTTTTGCACATGTTTCCTCTAGTTTCTTTGTTCATAGCCCCAGTAGACTTTGTTACTTCTGAGGTAAGTTGATTTGGTATCCCCCATCTTATTTCCCTAATCTACGTTCAGGAGACAGCATCAGGGTTAAGAAGATTTTTTTTTTTTTTTTAACTAGGAAAACCAAATCTGGAAGCCAAAATGTAGGCTTAGTTTGTGTGTTGTCTCTGAGTTTGTCGCTCATGTGTGCAACAGGGTATGGGCTATATGGTGGCCCCATTTTTGGTGGCCCATTGATGGGCTGGCCACTCTAGGCTGCCGCCTCTTTTGAGCAGTCATGTCTGTGTCCATGAGCTCAGGGCCATGCTGCCATGACGTCAGAGAAGCCTGTGTGAGAAGTGAATGCTGGTGGCTCAAGCTGCACAAGGAGGAGAGACTGTGGGATGGTGGCGGGGGACAGAGGTGCTCCTGCAGACCATACCCATCCTGTCTTTGGTGACGTCTCTGGGGGATGCATCCTCCTGGAAGTTGACAAGAGGCATCGTGGGCACAGCTGGCTCTGAGCGCCTTCACCCAGGACCAGGCTCACCGTTAACTCCTGCGGCCCCACCCAGGGCTGGAATCAGGAATGTTTTCCAAAGAGTGATAGTCTTTTGCTTTTGGCAAAACTCTACTTAATCCAATGGGTTTTTCCCTGTATAGTAGATTTTCAAAATGTAATAAACTTTAATATAAAGTAGTCCTGTGAACTCCACTGCCTCTGCTTCTGCCCTCTGGGTGGATGTGACCAGCCTCTTCTGCAAACACCAACGTTTTGGGAAACATGGCTCTCATCTGTGTGCCTTCATCTTTCCCGTGGGGAGGGATTCCGGGCCCAGCGTCTCTCTGGTTTATCTGGCTTTTGTTTTGGCTGAAATTCTGGAAGTCAGTAGGCTCAGCCAAGATTTTATAAGGCTCATGTGAATTTCTGTGTTGCCAACCTCCGAGCTCCATCTTCTAAAAGCCTAAAGAAGGTAGATGACCCCAACATGGCTTGACCTGAGGTTACAGCCCCTCGAAAGTGTGGAACTGAGGCCTGCCTCACAGACATCTTGGATACCCTCCCCCCACCCCGCTGCTGGGACCAGAGACCCCTCCCTAGCCCAGGGCTCCCGGGGACTCCTGCACTTGCTTATTTAATTTGACAATGTTCCAGCGACTCAGCCACTCTGAGTAGTGGGCTGCTCTGTGGCTCAGAGACACACTGCCAAATGAAGGGAGCCTGTGCCCTGTGTTGGATACTAGGACCTTCTGCTCAGAGTGTATGACTGGACAGGACTTGGGGTGGGGAAGGGGTTGCTGATCCAGCTCATCTGCTGGTCCATTCGACGGCGCCCAAACCTCTGGCTGGGCCCATTTGTGTAACTGCAATAAATGGTACTTGACACCTTGGGCAACAGGCTGCTGTGGTGGTGGTTGAGTCTCTTCTTGGCCTGGCGATGTCCCGGCCTCTTGCCTTGTGGGGGGCAGTCTGACTCTGGGCTGAACTCTGGCTTGGTACAGAGCAGTGGAATGAGCACTGCTGTCATGGAAGACTGAGGCCTCTGCCCTCTTCAATCATGCCTGGGGCAGGCCTCAGTTTCTCCCTTCTTTCTAGCACTCTTGCCCTACTGCCCATCACTCCTTATTCCTTAAGATAGAGGAGCTCCCTACTGACTCAGTTTGCTATCTGTTCCATTTGCTCATTGTTGTGCAATTTCTGACAACTCACTAGCAAACAGTCTTAAGTGCCAGAGGTCCAAAAGAGTCACTTGCATATTAGAGAAAAACAGCCTTGAAAGATCTGGGGGTTGAGGACATACAGTACACTGCAGGGCTACCCACCCACCCCACCCACCCAGTGTTCTAGGGCATCTAGCTGCCTCCATATTCTCACTCTCATTCAGGCTGCTGGCCTACTCTGGCTCTGCTGCAGGTCAGCCCTAACTCCAGGCCCAGGTATGTTCTGGGAAGTGCAAAGGGGAGAGACCATTCCTTTGCAGACTCTGCACTTGCCTGTGGGGCAGGGACTGCAGGCTCCAGGTGGCTTTGCAGGGTGGGGAATTCTGTTCTTCCCCAACACACGATGCTTCAAAGGGTTTGGAGGCTAATACAAAGTCCTCTGGGTCATTCATTCACTCCTCAAACACTGAACACCCATTGCCTATTTTCCGCCAGTCCTTGAGCTGGACAGCGAGAACCCAGTTGTATAATTGGCCACCCAGATATTAATACCCTTTTCTTTTTTTAAGTCGGAGTCTTGCTTTGTCATCCAGGCCGGAGTGCAATGGCACCATCACGTCTCCCTGCAGCCTTGACCTCCTAGGCTCAGGTGAGCCTTTTGCCTCAGTCTCCCAAGTAGCTGGGGCTACAGGTGTGCACACCACCCCCGGCTAATTTTTAAAATTTTTTTGTAGAGATGAGGTCTTGCTATGTTGCTCAGGTTGGTCCTCTCACCTCGGCCTCCCAAAGTGCTAGGATTATGGACGTAAACCACCATGCCTGGCCTTAGTACTTTTATTAATAACAATGTTCCCACCATGTGGGACCTGAAAAGTTCCCAGTCCTTTGGACTACCTCCTCTCATCACATCCAAGTCGATTGAACTGCGCCCCATTCCCGCCTTTTGATCCTGCTGATCCCTAACTCCCTCTCCTCTCACTCTGCCTCCTGCTTTGGGTGACACCACCCCAGGGCACCGCCAGGACAGGGCTATGCTGGCAGACTTTGTCGTGTTTGAGACAACAGTAAAGAACCGGGAATGTAGAGGGATCTCACCATCCTCTTGGGTTCCTCAGGCACCCGTGCCTCAGGCAATGTTTGCCCACATTCCCTCAGGCCTCAGCCTGCTGCCCTGTATCCCCAAACCTCATCCCCTTCTTCACTTTCCCACACCCCCACCTGAGAGAGGAGCAGTTGGGTGCTATTTTATTTTTAGATCAGGCCTACAGTGTGTCCTGGATGTGTATGGAGAGTGTGGCTTATATGTTACGGGGGCCTGGGGAACTCACTGGCTTTTCCACTAAGAGTTCTTTCAAGTTATTTTCCAAACGAATGAGCCATACTCTCTTAGATTGTGTTGCACTCTCGATGTGCAGCTGGTTTCTGTTTTAAATTGCATTTTTTGACCTTACCTTCCTCTGGGGTTTTGCTCTGAATATGTTTTCACAGCCAGAATAGAGACCCTGGGCAGGGAGGTAGTGGCCTGTGGGAGACAGACAAACGAAAGACGTATCAGTGACAGAGGCACTCGGTGTGGATTGCGGGGGGCCACAGGGCACCTAACTCACCCGGTGTCTGGGTCAAGTAGGTGCCGGGGAGGTCGAGCTGGGTCTAGAAGGACAAGTTCAAGTAGGCCTTTCAAACAAGGGTGGGGGCATTTCAGGCACAACTTGGGCAGCAGTAAGGATTCAAGAGGCTCCTAGGGTGTGAAGTGCTCCCAGGTGAAGGAAGGGAGGGACTGGAATGTGGTAAGGCAGGGCCAGCCACCTGTGGGAGAGGGGAGCCCCCTGAGGGGCTTCGGGAAAGATGAGAATTTGGGGGGGGGAGCATGTCACAACAGAAGTGAGGGTTGATCATGTAGGATGACTGGCTGGAGGAGGATTTGAGACTTACGAGGCAGGACTGGCACCTCCTGGACACACAGTCCTTTCTCACCTAGCTCTCCCACTGGTACCTGTTCCGGAGGGAAGCCTGAGGGAAAAACACCCCACCGAGGCTGTCCTAGTGGTCAAGGGCAGAAGGGACAGTAGTCCCAGAGCTAGGCCTTGAGGAGGACTGTCCCACACCCCTCTGGGGGTAGGCTGGTGGTAAGCGGGCCCCACCAAGGTATTTGGCTTCCTGTCTTCCACCCTCAGCATCGCTGCACTCTCCCATTAGTACTCGTGGTGTGTGTTGGGCTCATTGTAAGTACTGGGGGGGGTCTTTGCCTTTGGGGTGCTCATCATGGCTGGCTGGTGCTGCTATCCTGCTCTGAAAGTCAAGCAACCTCTATTAGCTTATTAACAACGCAAGACAGCACCACACACACCACGGGCAAGAAGGCTGAACTTACAGGTGGATAATGTCGTGTTGGGGGAGGTGGAGTAACGGGTGCTTTCAGAGGCTGTGGGAGGGAGTATGAATCAGTTGGAAACCCCTGACAGTATCTACTAATGCTAAACATACACCTATCCTATGATCCAAGCAGAATGAGGGCATATGTCTGCTGAAAGTTGTGTGAAAGAATGCCCATCGTTTTATTCATTGGAGTTCAAACCCTGAAAATAATCCAAACATCCATCACATGGATAAATGAATTGGAGCATACAAGGTCTGAAAATTAAATTCGTGAACTCATTCTAGGAAAAGCGCTACATACTTCATTGCTGAATATCATTACAGTTACCGTTGAAGTACTCCCCTTGGGAAACTGTGCATTGATGCCAGTGCCTAGTCCATCCATCAAAGCCATTTTTTTAACTTTTTCTGGATTGGCTGTCAGAGCTGTCATCCGATGTCCTAAATGTCATCAAATGTCTTCCTTTCAATATTTCCTTTATCTTCAGGTAAAGAAAAAAGTCATTGAGGGTCAGATGAGGTGGGTGTTCCAATACAGTTATCTGTCTACTGGCTAAAAAAAAAATCCCTCACAGACAGTGCTGTGTGAGCTGGTGCATTGTCCTGATGCAAAAGCTCCTTCAGGACCATTTTTGCACACACCTTTCTCATGACAAGATTTTCAGTTAAGATTTTTCTGTTTCTCTATTGATATTTATTTGGTCTTCTATGCTTCTCCCAGTAGGCCAACGATTTTGATGGACAATTTGAAGAATTTTTGCAATGTTTTAATCAGTTTTACTCATTACTGGTTGTCCTGACCTCTTTTCATCAGTGATGCTTTTTCTCCCCTCAGAAAAACATTTAATCCATTTGTGCACTGCCATTGTCTTCACGGCATTATC